TTCCTGCAGTCAGGTTTCAAACCAACAACGAGCTTAATCAGCCTGGCAAGAAACCACTGAAAGCTTTTCCCAAGACTTCACCGCAGCCGCTGCCTTCTTTCTCTGTAAAACTGTTTTCTGGAGAGTCTTGGCGGTGGCAAAAATCTGATAGGCCGCTCTAAAATTTAACTTGGAGGGGTGGAGGGAGGTGCGACTTGTTGACTGAAACCTTGCTCGCTGATGCGCTCTGAGGTGGCTCCAACAGCATCCTACGGGCGCGCTTGGTCCGGGATGTAACTTCAGGTTCTCTTCCGTTGTGTTTGAAGCCTCACGCGTAACGTTTATGCTGTGTGAGGAGGCTGGCCGACGGGTAGAAAATGCACCTATGGAAGGGTGAAGGAGCGGGCTTTCAAGCATTTAAATGAACGGGGTGGTTTTGTCTGTCAAGGTCTATGCATGGTATTTTAGAGTGACATCATCAGAGAATTTGTTTTACAGACAGACTCTGGAGCTACGGCGGCATCTTCTAAAAAGAAGAGTTTAATCGATCAGTTCTTCAGCATTGAGTTTGAAACAGCGTATCCTAAAGACGAAGGCGAGGCATCACCAAGAGTGAGCGTAGCTTCACGCTTTAGCAGTTGGGGGGCAGGGAGGATGAAGGGCATTGTTTGGAGAGTACGGAAAATAAAGGCGTGTGTGAGGGAAGAGAGGGAATGATGTGTTGGACAAGCATGCTGAAGTTAAGGTTTGGATGTACTTAGGCTGGAGCACCTCTCCTGGGATGAAAGGCTGAGAGAATGGGGCTTGTTCAGCCTGGAGAAGGCTCCAGGGAGACCTTACTGCAACCTTCCAGTACCTGAAAGGGCTTACAAGGAAGCTGGGAGAGGACTTTTTACAAGGGCCTGTAGTGACAGGACAAGGGGTAATGGTTTTAAATTGAAAGCAGGGAGGTTTAGACTAGATATCAGGAAGAAGTTCTTCCCGGAGAGGGTGGTGAGGCACTGGAACAGGTTGCCCAGAGAAGCTGTGGATGCCCCATCCCTGGAAGTGTTCAAGGTCAGGCTGGATGAGGCTTTGAGCAACCTGGTCTAGTGGAAGGTGTCCCTGCCCGTGGCAGGGGGGTTGGAACTAGATGGTCTTTATGGTTCCTTCCAACTCAAACCATTCTGTGATTCTGTGATACTTTGAGGATGATGTGGGGAGGAAGAATGGTAATGGAAATTTACTGGGGGGTGGGAAAAACCCCTCACTGAATGTAAATACCAGATTTCCTCCCCAGAGAAGATTGCTAGTTATCTACTTCAAGGGTGCTGACATGTTTTATCCAAATAGAAGTAATTATCATCCTAAATAGCCTTTTTTTGGCGTGCGAGGGAGTGCTGCTGTTGGACTTGGCATACTGAATGTGCACAAAAGATAGCTGGGTTGGTTTACGAAGAAATAAACTTGATGTGCACTGTTAGATGAGTAAGAAACTGTGCAGCTAACAACTTTCCAGTAGCTTTTTTTTAACAGCAAGAACAAAAAAGCGTATGACCCCATGGGGTACTGGTGGATGAAAAAC